ATTCTGGCCATATTACCCTCCAAATATTCCTCTACAGGAATTTTAATGCAGAGGGAAGATATTGTCTTAGAATAAAATGAGTAAAAAATTAAAATCTTTTATGGAAAAGACATCTGAATTAGTTATAAAATTAAAACTGAGACTTCATCAATTAGCAGGAATGGACACAGCAGAAATTATAGTAACTTTTATTAATGATGAAATTAACAAATTACGGGAAGACAATGAACCATGGCAAAGAACTTGTATTCATTTTTTTGGATATATTAATAACAACTATCCCAAAAGCAATAGAATTAAACATATAAAGAGAACTAATTGGATCTTTTCTCTCATTGTATGTGACACACCAATAATTGGAGCCCCTATATTCTATACTAATGCAAATAAATTAGGAAAGGCAGGTTACAAATCAGAAAATCTAGGTAAAGTGGGGCAAAGCCCTTATGATTCTGTCCAAAATTCAGAATTAGATGCTATTCTTATTTTACTAAGGGATTTTTAAAGAACATCAATATAGTTACTGATTCACAGTATGTATAAAAAGTTGTTTTGCATATTAAAATCACTGAATTTATACCAGATGATACAGAATTGACTTAATTATCTATTCAGATTCAAGATATAATCATCAATAGACTTTGTCCCACATCAATCGCATATGAGTCCGCCAGACACTCTAGCACAAGGTAATGCAGAAACTGATCAATTATTGATTGTAAATGTGCTGAAGGTCTCAGAATTTCATAAAAAAATCATGTCAATAGCAAAGGTTTAAAAAAGGACTTTTCCATTATGTAGCAACAAGCTAATGAGATTATAAGATGTCCTACTTGTTCTTTATATAACCAAACACCACTACTGCAGGAAGTAACCCAATGGTTACTCAAAGGAATGAAATCTGGCAGATGGATGTGTTCCACTTTGTAGAATTTGGGAAAATGAAATATGTACACCACACCACTGATAACTATTCAGGTTTTCAATGTGCAACTGCTTTGAGTTTGGAAAAGTCTGACTCAGTAATCACAAATATACTAGAAATCATGGCCGTCATAGGTGATCCTGAACAAATAAAGACAGACAATGGTTCAGCATATGTCTCTAAGAAAATGAAACATTTTTGTTTATTATAATATAAAACATATTAAAGGTACACCACACCATCCTACAGGAAGATCAAATCAAATTACAAAGGATATGTTAAACAAACTGAAACAGATGAAAAATACCCCCAGAAATAGATTGCAAATGCTTTATTAACCTTGAATTTTCTTAATGCTAATGAGAAAGGAACATAGGCAGCAGAAAGATACTGATAGTAGAAAAACTTCTGAATTAAATCAGCGGGTGTGTATCAAGGATGTATTGACCTCAGAATGGAAAGCAGAAGATGTGCTTTGTTGGAAAAGGGTTTTGATTCTTCTTTTCACAGGAGAAAAGCTACGGATACAATCAAAGTTAATCAAGATTTGGTTTGAAATGAAGAAACCTCTTGATAAAAGAGAAATGACAGCTTATCCACAGAAATGACAATCCATAGGTTGTAAAGAAACCTTATTAGGGTTGGGGCAGGGTTCTGTTCTTGTCTTTACAGGAAAATACTCATCTTTGAAAAGTCATGGACATCTAGATGCTTTAAGAAGAAAAGATAGCTATCAAAAAAGAATCTTAAATCTGCAGGGTAAGATCTTATTGACATACATATAATAGTAGTCGTCATTTATTAAAAATCAAAGTTATCTCTGGAGTTGCACAATGGCTATCCTTCTCTAAAACCAATTCAGAGTTTCTGTCTCATATCAGGGGCCACCTGGTGTAGGATAGAAGGAAGATAAAATCTAGGGAATACTACTATTAAAATTCTGCTTTCACTTCTTCCCGTACCTATTTTTATCTCTATGGTACATTTTATTGAATATTATGTCTATATGAATAACTTTTAAGTTTTCCACAATGAACAAAAAAAGTTTCCTGCAGTAATCTTTGAAGTTTCAGGAAGAATATGGGGCCCCACAACAACAATTCCACCTGGTTGATATGATGCCATTATGCGAATAGCAGCACTAAAATCAGTTTTGGATTAAAAACTACTCAAGATGATTTCAACTTGGCTAGCTGACATGGTGCACTTTCTTACAACATTCTGCCCAGAACTTCAAATAAGAATTTCAGAAAAACCCTACCATCTACTCAAAGACTATCTGCAATTGTAGCAGATAGTAATCTTGAAATTTAGCCATCATTTTAGTTTTTATAGGATCCCATAGAAATAACATCGCCCCCATGACAGGGGGAAGTAATCACAGAAGACAACATGCCCTCTCCCAACAAAGTTTGTCATCAGGGTTAGGAACATCTACTAGGGGTTTGTTATAAGTGGTATAGGGCTAGGAGTGGAATGAAGTAGGCTCAGGGATCTCTTTTGGAAAAAAAAAGGAAAATAAATAAGATGGGATAATAGGTAGATTATTACTTGTGAGCTATTACTTATAGACAATTTACATTGGTATAAATTCATGTATATTGATATAAATTCAAATTATATTAGTTATATTGAACATGCTCCTATTTCTGTTTAAAATATTGGTACACCTATGCAAAGTTATTTTGTCATATTGTATGTATACATGTTTCTACCTTTGTTTAATATATTGATGCAATTTTAGGATATATTTATCATATTGCACTGTATATTTCTACCTCTGATTAAGATACATACATACATACACACATACAGTTTACATTTTGAGGTTATGGTCCTCATTTTCTACACATTTCTTTAAAGATTATTTAATTTGCTAATATGAAGCCTTAGTCTTTAAGTTAGAAAGGTATGAAAAATTACAGATCAATAGTCATTCATGTTTGTCATACATATAGTTAGACTAGTCAGGTCCTTTATATGTACAGAGATTGTATTCTGCATAGATAGGTAACCTTCAAACACTTCAAAAAACTGTAGAATATGGTATTTAAGTAACTTAGAATTCTGTTGATGTGAGACACAATTGTTCTTGGCAGCACCGTCCTATTTCCGAGAGAATGTTAGGCACTGAAGACATTCCACTTGGAGCTTTTTTTCTTCTTGGCAAAACTGTCCTTGACTACTCACAAAATGCACGGTGTCCAAACTGGACAAGCAGGATACAAGCAAAAAGACTGCCAAACCTTGCCAAGACAGGGTAAGAAGGTTTTGCAAATTTTCCTTCCTCTGAAAATGGTCTGTCAGATATTCTAGGCCTTAGTGAAAGTTAGTTGCCCAACATTGCAAATGAGACTTTGGGAGGTTGTCCAGGTAGCTGGTGGCCTGTGTCATTTCTTGAAACTTCTGAAAGTTGCCTGATTGCATTTACTCAGGTAATATTATTTCCCTTCTCAGGTTTTTGATGGGGTTGAAGATTAGATAGTCATAGTTACTTTCCTCTCATGACTTAGCCAAGCCATTTTTAATGTAAGACTTAGACTCCTTAGAATAGGATAACTATTGAAACATTTAGCATACATTTCTTGTTTATATTGTTCATGCTGATTGCAATTTTAATTTTTATGTAAATTTTGCCTCTTCTTTTTCCTGGACAATAATTGATATTTGTTCTTATTGTATATAGTTTTTTTATTAGGCTTAGAACTCTCTTATTTAGACAACAGGGAGGTGGTGTGGGAACTCTTTCAGTCAATAGCCTTTAAGATATCAGTTCACTTTGGGCATGGTCTCATGTACTACAAATGCAGACAAAAAGTGTAAGCAGCCCTCTTTGCTGCTGAATTTAGTTCCAGTTCTCAATGCATGCAGAGGATTGCGGATTGCTACCTTTACTGTGAGTTTATCCCCCAAATAATTGTGAAATTCTGTGGTACAACAACAAATCAAAGTTATCTATCTCTCCTTTCTCTACATCCTCTAGGATTCTGTTAGCATTACCATAGATCACCAGAGTCTTCTATCATCAACACTGCATAGTTGCAGGGGAACCCATTATGAAATGGATATAGAGCTAAAAGTGATTGCTATAGAAAGGGGAGAAATGTAGAAAAATACAGTGTACTCTTAACTAATTAGACAAAACTTCTGCTCATACTGGAATTAATGGTAGAGAAAGTCCATTAAAAAAAAAAGTAGATTCTAAATGAGGCCCCTCCTTCCTATGCTCTGATCCATTCAACAGCAACTTTGCAGACTTGGTGTGTTGGAAGCAATCAACCTATTTCATACCATGTGGTCTTTCCTGGAGAAATCTATGTCTTTTCATAGAAACCATCTTTCTATTTCAAGTTGGCCAAACCATTAATTAAGCTGAGATCTTAAATATAATTGTCTTTCTATCCATGTAAATACCCACAAATGTGTGTTATGCCTGGTATAGTTTCTTTCACAATAATAGCACTTGGTACCACCATTTTAAATGTCTATTTTCTCCATATCAATCTTTAAATAGGTTTCTCAGTTATTCAAAGAAGCAATAAAAAAGACACTGTTTCAAATCTAATAGTCTTATCATTTGATATAAAAAGAGTTAGCTCAAAAGTTTTACTTAGTCTTAACTGTGAGACCGTTTAAATATGGGTATTTACAGTCTCCATGAAAATATAATGAGCTACTATTTTTTTCCTTGGGCACCAACAAGAAGATGTACCAATAGTTGGCCATCTGTCCTAACATTTAGCTGCTTCTTCCCTGGCTTCTCTGGAAAAAAAAAAAAAAACCTAAAAGGATGTTTACTCAGGTTCTTCAGTGGCCAACTTTACAATCTTGTGAGCGGAACTGTTGGTAATCTGGGCCTCCAGTGTTTTCCAGCAGTCAGCCTGAACCAACACAGTATATCCTCACAGGGAGTTTTCTACCCACGCCTTGGAGTTTCTGATCTAAGCCTACGGCAGCAAACCTCTCTTTGACTTCTCACAGACATTCTCATAGCAAGAAGCTGCTCTTCCAGAGGGGAATGAGGCACCTCTTTCAGGGTATGGGGAACGCACTGGAGGATCACCATAGTACTTACCATCTTGGCAGTTTTAGTTGGTGAACGAGGACCTAAAATTAAAAAATAACCAAAATTCAAAAACAGAGGAAACACTTTTAGACCATAATCATTAATAATGTCTATGATAAAACTTCAATTTCAGTAGCCTAATAATAAACTCTATCTAGTATCAGCTGTGCATCAGGCATCAAACATCTATTATCTCCAATACTCTAACCTTCTTGATAGTTAAGGTTCCTTAAATCACAGAAACAGTAGTAAGCAGAGAGGCAGCAAACTGGCATCAGTTCACCAAATATCAAACCTTGGGCTCTGCTATATTTGTTAAAAAAAAAAAACTCTCAAGTATTCACAAAGATATTTCTTTTAAAGATCTATTTGCATTTTTTTGTGTGTATACAATAGCTGGCTATTTGTTTTAATATTTGGCTACTTTTTACCTGGATCCTCTGAAACAAACTAAAAGGATGTTTGCAAAGACTTTTCAATTGTCTACTTTATGACGTGAAAGATAGGACAGTTAGAAATGTACACACAAGGTGACCAGAAGAGGGCACTGGATGTCCTCCTCTATGCATTCCTTCTATACACTCCATCTACTCCTCTGAGGCAGAAGCAAGGTCTCTGCCTGAACCTAGGGCTCACATTTTCTTGGGTAGGCTAGAAGTCTCCATGCACTTCTGAGCTGAGGTGACAGGCATGCAAGAATTGTCTGGCTTGTTATATTGATGCTGGTACCTGAACTCTATTGATCCACTTTCTCAGCCCCATCACAAAGATGATTTTTTCCCCCTGACTCTGAGCATACTGTACTATATAACTTGGAAAAGATATCAAAATGGGTTTAAAAGAAAAGAAAAGAAAAGAAAAGGAAAGGAAAGGAAAGGAAAGGAAAGGAAAAGAAAGGAAAGGAAAGGAAAGAAAAATGAAAAAGTATCCTAAGAAGTAATGTGTGCCTCAAATACAAAAAAAGAAAAAGAAAAAAGAAAAAAAAAAGAGTCAGGGAGATAAGAAAGAAAGGCTAAACACTAGCTATTCATTGGTATTGACTTAAGAAAGCCTATTGAAATGCAGCTTTGTAGTTGGTTCTTAGAATTAGATTTATAATCATGTCAGTTGATGACCTTGAAAAATTAAATTTCCATTTTTTTCACATAAGCATGTGAGCTTTAATCAACATTTGTAGGCAGGTTGTAGAGCTTAAGATAAAGGACAGGTTAACATCTCTCTGTTTTACTCATACATAGAAATGCCAGCATTTCAAATCTCTGGCATGGTGTAGAGTTCCCGATGAAGCACCACTGACTAGAGAAAGCCAATTTCTATTATTGTTATCAACTAAGAAGATGAAATTAAGAGGAAGAATTGTATCTGATATAGCATAGTACCATGACTTTCTCTAATAATTAAAGTTGTAAATTTAATTTTATAAAGACCTTCATAGTAAAGAAATTATAACCACTAATGACCAACACAGAGTTTAAAAAGATATTGTTGCTAAAACATGCAGACAGAGCCACAAGAAAAATAAATACGAATTGCCAGGGAAATGCTAGCAAAAGACACCTACACTGGAAGGGAGAGCAATGGTCAGGTAAAATGTTTGTGCTGTTACTCACCTCCTCTTAGGATAAGCAGCGGCACATCTGCACCTACTGGGAACTGCTTTAGTACTTCTACCACTTGGAGATGTGATAAATTCTGCACATTTTGGTGGTAAATTTCTTTGATGACATCCCCCTTTTGAAGGCCTTGACACCACTGGCTATCCAATATCATTTTCACCTTCTGTCCAGTTGGGCTGTCAGCAATTGCAAACCCAAAGCCTTTAGGGCCCTTAATCAGAGGGATAGTCACTAGTTCAGGCTGGGAGCTGCCTGATGATGCCAGGGATGCTCTCTGTTCACTTGAATCTGAAGGACCATTGAGATGGTCACTGGCCAAGATTTGGCCTGGTTTTCCATTTTGGTCCAAAGCCATTACTCCTGGTTTAAAATCCTGAGTATTCAAGCATGTCTCTCCCTTTGTTAATGACTGTCCATTGATGACAGGGGTAGCAGCAACAATGTCCACAACAGGATCTTCACTGTCATCAGGAAGTGGATAGCCACGGCATAAAGTAAGGTTGACATACTGGTTGACAGGTACCAACTGAAACATCTGGACAACATCTGCATGAGTGTGACCAAGGACACAGCTGCCATTGATGTCTACAATAACATCACCTGATAAAATATAATCATGTTAAGATATTAAAACCACCAAATAAGTTAATCTTTTTGCTGGGGGAAAGACAAAAAAACAAACAAACAAAAAACAGAAACTAAATTTGAATTCTAAAGCTCTCTAATTGTTTATAAATGTTGAAAAGAGATTTCCAATACAAGCATTTGCTGTTATGACTTTGTTATAAAAATATATCTGCATCTTTTAAGATTTATTTTTAGGCCGGGCAGTGGTGGAGCACACCTTCAATCCCAACACTTGGGAGGCAGAGGCAGGTGGATCTCTATGAGTCTGAGTCCAGTCTGGCTACAAGAGCTAGTTCTAGGACAGCTATGGTTATTACATAGAGAAAACCTGACTCAAAAAACAAAAACAAACAAAAATATTTATTTTAGTATTTTCATTTGTTTGTCTCTCTGTGTGTGCATGTCCAAGTGTATGTCATGCGTGTGCAGGTACAACAGAAGACAGGACAGGATGCTGGGTTCCCTGAAGCTGGGGATATAGGTAGTCATAAGCTACTGGAAACTGACCAACCTGTGTTCTCTGAAAGAGCAAGAAGTGCTTTCTTTTTAACCACTAAATGACAAATTCTAAATGTCAAATTATTAACTATCTTAACATCAGAGAGTTATAATCTTCTCAAATTCAAGTCTATCATTTAAAAATTCTCCAAGTTTTATTCAATTGGAACATACTTTCTGAGCCATTACTAAGTAGCTATTCAAAACTCAGTACAGTACAGTACTAGGTATTTAGCACATACAAAAGAAAATAACTCTCTTGGCTACTTATATGAATAAGCTATTAATAAATGTCTCTTAAATCCATTATAAGGCAAAAGGACCAGAATGACATCTCTTACTGGTGCTACTTCACTTTAGGGTCTTTTCTGTAGAAATCTGTGTTTACTATAAGGGATTTCAAATAGAGAAAGCAGCAGCAACAAAATCAAAATAACCAGTGTATATATTTTTAAGATAATGAAAGGTGAAATTAATTAGTTCTTGTAAGATTTAATTTTGTCTTTCTCTTTTATAATATGCTCATTTTGCAGAATCATTCCACAGAATTTCAACAGTTGGCAATTTGACTTCTGAAATTAGTTATCCAATAACAAAATAACATAAAATTTCAATATCTCATCTATTTGTTTTTATTTCATATAATTATTTAAAAGGTTACCGCCAAGTAAAGATACTTTAGTTTCTTGTGCCCAGACTTCAAAGAACAGGACGCATGGTGTGGAAAGTGCAACTTTGTATGGGCTGGAAAGACAGCTTAGTCCTTAAGTGCAATGGGGGCTCTTGCAGAGGACCACATGGCAGCTCACAACCATGTGTAACTCCAGCCTCAGGGATATGATAACCTCTCTGGCTTCCACAGGCACCAGGCATTCATGTCACACACAGACACACATGCAGGTAAAAGCCCATACACGAAATAGTTTAAAAAAATGTTATTTGTAGAAATTTGTTTCTGATTCAAGAGGATACATAATTTAATCAGATACAAAGCTTTAACTTTTTACCTCCAAGTGAAGAACTCCAAAAACTTCCTGAAGTTTTCATAGAAGTATTGAGTTTTAATGCAAATTAGCTAACAGTTTTAGATGAATGAGAAACTATTCTTTCTATCTATCTATCTATCTATCTATCTATCTATCTATCTATCTATCT